AGAAATGAAACAAAATGGAAGAGGTTTTCTATTTGGGCTCCAAAACATTTCCCTTGTCAATTCCTCTTTCTGCTACTCAGGACTGTCTGCTAGCTCTAACACATTTGGGGCCATCCATCAGATCCATAAGAGTACATTTAGCAGTAATAGCTGCATACCATCCTCAATTCAGGGTTATACTGTATCTTCCCACCCTACAGTTGCTAGATTCTGTAAGGGTTTTATTCATGTTTTTCCACCCAGACCAAGGGGCTCCTCCTTCCTGGGACCTCAACACAGTGTTAACTGTTTAGTGGGACCTCCTTTTTAGCCACAAGCAACCTGCTTTTTTGATCAACTGTCTATGAAGACTGCTGTCAAAGTTTGACTCAGATTCACAATTTATCAGACCACTCTGTTTTATTAGCAAAGCTGCTCTGCTAATACATTTAGAGTGGGGCTTGTGTCTCTTAATTTATACTGTTTTTGGAGAACAAGTTACAGAGAAGTTACAGACAAAAGAAGAAAAAAGATTTTAGTCACCACCCTTCGAGATCCCTGAGACCAGTCACGTATCTTCAATTACCTGCCACCCTTAACAATCTCCTTTAACAGCTTCCAGTTAACTTAAAAAGAAAAGGAGTACTTGTGGCACCTTAGAGACTAACCAATTTATTTGAGCATGAGCTTTCGTGAGCTACAGCTCACTTCATCAGATGTTTACATCTGATGAAGTGAGCTGTAGCTCACGAAAGCTCATGCTCAAATAAATTGGTTAGTCTCTAAGGTGCCACAAGTACTCCTTTTCTTTTTGCGAATACAGACTAACACGGCTGTTCCTCTGAAACCAGTTAACTTAACTAATTGCCCTTCACACCTCCCATTCTGATGCCTGCTTCTTAGACTTGCTGGCTCTGTCTTAATTGCTTCTCCATTCAAAAGCTAACTGTCCCTACATGTGCTCCCTCAGATACTTTGTAACATGTTTTGGCATGCCCTCTCATATACAATGTATCCAGCATGTCCCCTTATACAACGCTATACTTATATAATGTTATACTTCCACACTGCTTACATCAACTCATAGGTTAGGGGACATGCAAGCCCTTATGGATGGTCCACCTGACATGACATTCCATAAAGATAGGCCTCACTCCAAATTCCTGCCTAATTGTTTCTGATTTTTATTTAAATCAGTTGCTTCCCTGCCCAGTTTTCTCCCTCAAGTGCTACTCTCACACCAGGGGGAAGCCAAATCATAGAATATCAAGGTTGGAAGGGACCTCAGGAGGTCATCTAGTTCAACCCCCTGCTCAAAGCAGGACCAATCCCCAATTTTTGCCCCGATCCCTAAATGGCCCCCTCAAGGATTGAACTCACAACCCTGGGTTTAGCAGGCCAGTGCTCAAACCACTGAGCTATCCCTCCCCCCCAATGGCACACCCTTTGACATAGTAGGGCTCTAACATACTACCTGGATGGGATCACATCCTTCACAAGATCCCACAGACTGTGTGTAGCCTTTTCAGATAGGGTTAAGGTTCAAGCCACTTCCACCCAAAGGTTGTCCAAATAGATAACTAACTATATTAGATCCTGTTATGAAGTAGCTAGGGTAGATTTCACTTGGATGTTTTGAGGTTCACTCAGGCCAGACAGGGGTTTGATCAATATCTGCCTTTTAACCCTGGGTGTCTTGTGACTGTGCAGCTTTTGTCCAGAGCTTTGACCCCAACAGCCAGCCAGCGGCCCACAAGGCTCACTTTGCCTTTGCCCAACTTGGTTACTTCAGAAGAAGTCTGCTTTTCTGAAGTCCAGGGTCCATATTCTGCTGCTTTCCTTTCTTCCTTGTGTCAGGATCCTGAACTCGACCATCTCATGGTCACTGCCTCCCAGGTTCCCATCCACTTTTGCTTCCCCTACTAATTCTTCCCGGTTTGTGAGCAGCAGGTCAAGAAGAGCTCTGCCCCTAGTTGGTTCCTCCAGCACTTGCGCCAGGAAATTGTCCCCTACACTTTCCAAAAACTTCCTGGATTGTCTGTGCACCACTGTATTGCTCTCCCAGCCGACATCAGGGTGATTGAAGTCTCCCATGAGAACCAGGGCGTGCGATCTAGTAGCTTCTGCGTGTTGCCTGAAGAAAGCCTCGTCCACCTCATCCCCCTGGTCCGGTGGTCTATAGCAGACTCCCACCACGACATCACCCTTGGTGCTCACACTTCTAAACTTAATCCAGAGACTCTCAGGTTTTTCTGCAGTTTCATACCGGAGCTCTGAGCAGTCATACTGCTCTCTTACATACAGTGCAACTCCCCCACCTTTTCTGCCCTGCCTGTCCTTCCTGAACAGCTTATATCCGTCCATGACAGTACTCCAGTCATGGGATTTATCCCACCAAGTCTCTGTTATTCCAATCACATCATAATTCCTTGACTGTGCCAGGACTTCCAGTTCTCCCTGCTTGTTTCCCAGGCTTTGTGCATTTGTATATAGGCACTTGAGATAACCCACTGATCGCCCCTCTTTCTCAGTGTGAGGCAGGAGCCCTCCCCTCTCACACACTCCTGCTCGTGCTTCCTCCTGGTATCCCACTTCCACACTTACCTCAGGGCTTTGGTCTCCTTCCCCCGGTGAACCTAGTTTAAAGCCCTCCTCACTAGGTTAGCCAGCCTGCTCGCGAAGATGCTCTTCCCTCTCTTCATTAGGTGGAGTCCGTCTCTGCCTAGCACTCCTCCTTCTTGGAACACCGTCTCATGGTCAAAGAATCCAAAGCCTTCTCTCCGACACCACCTGCATAGCTATTCGTTGACTTCCATGATTCAGTCCCCTGTCTCTCTCAGGGATGCAAGAACTATGTTAGTTCTGTCTCCTGAGTTCAGTCTCAGGATAACCCCCACACGATTTAGCTTGATGGCTTTGTTTAGTGCTAATATGTAAATTAAGGCTAAACAAATTTGTTTGTCTAAGACAAATTGGTTTATCGGCTTTACCTGGGCTAGACCATCTGGTCTTAAACATGCTCTAATAACATTATAGAGAGCATTTATAATTTCATATATAATGTTACATATGTTTCACAAACATATGTAACCACTTCCCCTCTGCCCAGTGGGTGCTCGACCCCCTGGCCCTGCTTCTTCCCACCCCTGCACCGCCCTTGCCCCACCCCCATTCCACCCCCTTCCACCAAGTACCCACCCCTGCCCTGCCTCTTCTCGGCCTCCTCCCCAGAGCGTGCCACATCCCCATTCTTCCCCCTCCCGGAAAGTCCTAAGCACCGCCAAACACCTGTTAGGCGACGGGCAGGCTGGAAGTGCTGGGAGGGAGGGGAAGGAGCGGGGACGCAGTGCACTTGGGTGGGGGGAGGAGAAGGAGGCGAGGATTGGGGAGGTTGGCTGCCGGTGGATGCGGAGCACCCACTAATTTTCCCCATGGGTCCTCCAGCCCGGAGCACCCAAGGAGTCAGCACCTATGTTCACAATTATATTATTGACCAGGGTGTTGTTAGCTTTCAAGGCATGTTTTGTACAAATGTTATTGCAGTAATGCTTAGGATGTGAATACATGTGTGCCTTGGGTCACATTCACCCATGCTCATGAGAGCTCATTCCACCAGAGCTCAGGCGGTTTCTTCAGCTTCTATATGAAACATCCCTATTTCAAAATTTGCACGTCAGTGACGTGCGGATCAGTCCACACTTTTACCATGACTCGTCCTTAGTTGAAACTTCAAGATCAGACTCCCACTTTGGTAGAGCTGTCTTGCATTCATTATTTAATTAGGACTCCAAGAACCCATAGTAAGGTCACTGCTTGATAGTCATCAGAAGTGGAATCTGTGTGGACAGTCACTTGAAGAAGAAGGAACAGTTATTTACCTTGTAACACACCTTCAAGGTGTGTTATTCACATGGCTTACACAATCCACTTCCTTTCTGTATCTACTGTTTCCTGCTCTTCTGGGATTGTGTATTGGCAAAGGAACTGAGGGATCATTAGGCCTACTCTGTCCTTTATGGGTACATTTACACTGCAATAAAAGACCCCTGAATTAGGCTCATGGGGCTCGGGCTGCGGGGCTATAAAATTGCAGGGTAGAAGTTTGGGCCTGGGCTAGAGCCTTTGCTCTGAGACTCTGTAAGAGGGGAGGCCTGGGCTCTAGTCTGATCCTGAATGTCTGCACTGCCACTTCTAGTCCCGCAGCTGGAACCCCATAAGCCTGAGTCAGTTGATCCAGGCTCTGAGACTCAATTCTGTGAGTTTATCATTGCATTGTAGACGTATTGTATGTCCTCAGGTGTGAGGCATGAGAATGTCCAGGGCACAGACAATGGATACTGTTGGCCAGAAAGAGTCAAATTTCACACATACAGGGTGCATGTGCCCCGGAAGTGAAATCTAGGTGGACAACACCTCTTTAAGAACTATGACAGGTTTCAGAGTAGCAGCCGTGTTAGTCTGTATTCGCAAAAAGAAAAGGACTACTTGTGGCAATTGGTTAGTCTGTAAGGTGCCACAAGTCCTCCTTTTCTTTTTAAGAACTATGGTTACCGTAAGATATCATTCTTTATACACGGATGAATATGTTACAAGATGCTACACATCTGAACTAAAGGTTTGGAATAAAAATGTGTGATGTCAAATATAGCATCATTTGAGAGATTACGTGATTGTGTAAGCACAGTGTGTCATAACACATACACTTATGTGGGTAGAGGCAAGGTTGTGCATTCAGCCTTAACTTGGGCATTCCATTTTGAGTGCTTAATTTTATGCATAAATAATGTTGCATTGACAAAGCTTTTTGTATTTAATATCAGAAAGAATAACCAAGATTATGCTATCACGTGATACTGATTTCTCAGGATTCTGGTGAAAAACCATTGAGTTCTCTTCTCGTGGTTAATACTGTTGGAAATCTTCAGTGGGGATTTTGGAATGGATGCTTTGTAATGGTTTTTCTTCTGTTCTGTATAAAATTACAGAATTTCCTCAGATGAGACTGTTTTTCGCTTTTTAAGGAACACTGCCTGAACTTTGTGGTTAAAGAGTCACATTTTAATCAGGTAATAATGATGAAGGAATTTGAGCATCTTTCCTCATCCCTGATAGTGGAGATAGTACGAAGAAAACAGCAGCCTCCTCTTCGAACACATTCCGATCAGCCTCTGGATATTGGTAATGTATTTTCCTTCCTGAACTAATAATCACACTGTTTGTTTTCTTGAGACTTTAACATGACTTGGGCATTGTCTACACTCAGAAATAGCCGATTACTCGCCATTGATTGCTCAGTCTAGTGTCACCCATACTGCCTCCTAAGTGCATACAAGGACATGCTAATATTTGCACCGGCTAAGCTTCAGGATTGCTGACATTCTATCAGAAACGGAGCTGATCACAGTGATTCCCATTTGTGACCTTTGGGCTCAATTGTTTCTACTGACTATATCTGATAATGAGTCCTGAGAAAGCTCCAGCTAGTCGCAATACAACCTGGCTGCCCATTTAAGGTCAGCTCAAGGTAATGAAAGTCCTCCATTGGATTGGCCCTAGGTACCTGAGAGATCACCTCCCCTTCCACAGCCACAGCCTCCTGCAAAAGGTGTGTTCCATGGGAACAGTGAAACCATCAAGTAATAAATAGTGGGAGGCTCCTGAATGCAGAAGACAGAACTGTCACAGGAGCAAGACCTAGGTTGTGGAACTAATTCCCCCAATAGGTAAGAATGACCACAGGCCCCACTGAATTAGGAAAGAAATGCAAATTCATCTCTTTGCATTATCCTTCCCTCGGTAAGGTTTAAATTCACCCATGCTCATATGTACGTGCACGCTCCAGCTATTTCTCATAAGGGCTGGGAAGGAAGGAAGGAAAGAAGGAAGAAAAGAGAGTTTGCTATAGTTTCTTCTATTTTTAAATACTTACAATGGAAAGCCATTCAGGTCCCTAGATAGACACCTCCTGATCCCTAGTGACATGTTCCACAGCTGGGAGCCCTCTGCTAAAATTTTGTTTGCCCCTGCACTCCATTAGCTGAAGTATCCCTGAAGAGCTGTATAGAGAAATGTGCTCCATGATGTGGACCATACCATTCAGCTTATTTCATAGAATCATACAATATTAGGGTTGGAAGGGACCTCAGGAGGTCATCTAATCCAACCCCCTGCTCAAAGCAGGACCAATCCCCAACTAAATCATCCCAGCCGGGGCTTTGTCAAGCCTGACCTTAAAGACTTCTAAGGAAGGAGATTCCATCACCTCCCTAGGTAATGCATTCCAGTGTTTCACCACCTTTCTAGTGAAAAAGTTTTTCCTAATATCCAACCTAAACCTCCCCCACTGCAACTTGAGACCATTACTCCTTGTTCTGTTATCTGCTACCACTGAGAACAGTCTAGAGCCATCCTCTTTGGAACCCCCTTTCAGGTAGTTGAAAGCAGCTATCAAATCCCCCCTCATTCTTCTCTTCTGCAGACTAAACAATCCCAGTTCCCTCAGCTTCCCCTCAGCCTCTCCTCATAAGTCATGTGTTCCAGTCCCCTAACCATTTTTGTTGCCCTCCGCTGGACGTTTTCCAATTTTTCCACATCCTTCTTGTAGTGTGGGGCCCAAAACTGGACACAGTACTCCAGATGAGGCCTCACCAATGTCGAATAGAGGGGAACGATCACATCCCTCGATGTGCTGGCAATGCCCCTACATATACATCCCAAAATGCCATTGGCCTTCTTGGCAACAACGGCACACTGTTGACTCATATCCAGCTTTTCGTCCACTGTAACCCCTAGGTCCTTTTCTGCAGAAGAACTATTCCTTGGAAAATGTTTGTCATCTTGACACCTGTGAGAAGTGGGGTGGTCAGAGAAAGGCCAGGGCTTAGCACTGTGAAAGGGAGGGTGAGCTAAGTCAGTCTGCAATTTATAGAGTTTCCTCGGATGAGACTGTTTTTCATTTTTTAAGGAACACTGCGTGAACTTTGTGGTTAAAGACTCCAGAGGGGAGAGGAGGATGGGTAATTCCTGCTGCAGGTCTGATGAGGCAGGGTGGTAGGTTGAACCCCACTTTGGGGCTAAGAAGAGTCATGGGTTTGACCTATGCCCTGCTGCAGGCTTCAGGATAGGAGTGTCAGTGCACACTAATTACTGCTACCAGATTAAAAAGAGTGATGGGGCATAATAAGCCTGCTGTTGAGGCCCTTATACCAATGGCATGTGTGGCAGAGCCTGTATGTAACAGGATAGCCTGTGTCCAGAATCAGGGCATGGGCAGTAAAGTCCAGTGGTTAGAGCTTTAGGTGGTGGAGCCTGAAGCAGCTGAGTTGGTAGCTGGGGTCTGGAGCCTAGGATCAATCTGGAGTCAGGCTGGAGTCAATAGCCAGGAGCTGTAACCAAGGGTTAAGCTGGAGTCAATAGCTAGGAACCATAAATGAGGCAAGAAAGCAAGAATGATTAGGGGTCTGTCTCAGCAGCAGTTCAGGGATCTGGATTGGTGCACATACAACTTCCTGGAACTCCCTTCAGGCTTAAATAGTAGGTCTGGGAGAATCAGAGATATAGGGTGGGGCTGCCAGTCGTCAGTACCGTGGGTGGCACTCCCCACAGTGACTGGTCTCCTGGGATGCCTTCTGGCAGTGTGGAAGGGCCACCTGCTTGGCCTTCAGCAGATGTGGTTTCAAGTCCCATGAATCCTTACATTGCCCCTCTTCAGGTGTGCCCTGGGGCACTGAACACAAAGGCCATAATGGTTCAGACCAAAGGTCCATCCAGCTCAGTATTCTGTCTACCAACAGTGGCCAATCCCAGGTGTCCCAGAGGGAGTGAACCTAACAGGTAATGATCTAGTGATCTCTCTCCTGCCATCCATCTCCACCCTCTGACAAACAGAGGCTAGGGACACCATTCCTTACCCATCCTGCTAATAGCCACTTATGGATTTAACCTCCATGAATTTATCCAGTTCTCTTTTAAACCCTGTTATAGTCCTAGCCTTCACAACCTCCTCAGACAAGGAATTCCACAGGTTGACTGTGCGCTGAGTGAAGAAGAACTTCCTTTTATTTTTATTAAACCTGCTACCCATTAATTTCATTTGTTGGCCCCTAGTTCTTATATTATGGGAACAAGTAAATACTTTTCCTTATTCACTTTCTCCACCCCATTCATGATTTTATAAACCTCTATCATATCCCCACCCTTAGTCTCCTCTTTTCCAAGCTGAAAAGTTCTAGCCTCTTTAATCTCTCCTCATGTGGGACCCATTTCAAACCCCTAATCATTTTAGTTGCCCTTCTCTGAAGTTTTTCTAATGACAGTATATCTTTTTTGACATGAGGAGACCACATCTGTACACAGTATTCAAGGTGTGGGCATACCGTGGATTTATATAAGGGCAATAAGATATTCTCTGTCTTATTCTCGATCCCTTTGTTAATGATTCCTAACATCCCGTTTGCTTTTTTGACTGTCGCTGCACACTGCGTGGACGTCTTCAGAGAACTATCCGCGGTGATTCCAAGATCTTTCTCCTGATTAGTTGTAGCTAAATTAGCCCCCATCATATTGTATGTATAGTTGGGATTATTTTTTCCAATGTGCATTACTTTACATTTATCCCCATTAAATTTCATTTGCCATTTTGTTGCCTAATCATTTAGTTTTGTGAGATCTTTTTGAAGTTCTTCACAATCTGCTTTGGTCTTAACTATCTTGAGCAGTTTAGTATCATCTGCAAACTTTGCCATCTCACTGTTTACCCCCTTCTCCAGATCATTTATGAATAAGTTGAATAGGATTGGTCCTAGGACTGACATCACTAGTTACCCCTCTCCATTCTGAAAATTTACCATTTATTCGTACCCTTTGTTCCTGGTCTTTTAACCAGTTCTCAATCCATGAAAGGATCTTCCCTCTTATCCCATGACAACTTAATTTACGGAAGAGCCTTTGGTGAGGGACCTTGTCAAAGGCTTTCTGGAAATCTAAGTATACTATGTCCACTGGATCCCCCTTGTCCACATGTTGTTTGACCCCTTCAAAGAACACTAATAGATTAATAAAATATGATCTTCAATGTGCCTGACAATTTTATTCTTTACTATTGTTTCAACTAATATGCCCGGTACTAATGTTAGACTTACTGGTCTGTAATTACCAGGATCACCTCTAGAGCCCTTCTTAAATATTGGCGTTACATTAGCTATCTCCCAGTCATTGGGTACAGAAGCTGATTTAAAGGACAGGTTACAGACCATAGTTAATAGTTCTGCAATTTCACATTTGAGTTCTTTCAGTACTCTTGCGTGAATGCCATCTGGTCCCGGTGACTTGTTACTGTTAAGTTTCTCAATTAATTCCAAAACCTCCTCTAGTGACACTTCAATCTGTGAGAATTTCTCAGATTTGTCACCTACAAAAGACGGTGACAAAAGATTGTCACTCCAGGTTTTTGTGGGTGACATTAGTGAAAGTCTTTTACAAGTTCAGGGGCATGAATGTTACTGGCAGGCTCCCAGTACTACTCTTTGGGGCCATAGCCTTCCCAGTCTACGAGGTACCACAATAATCTGGAGGCCAATCCTCAGACGCCTCGTTGCCCTGAACTGGAACTAGTAAGGTGATGGCTGTGTTCAGTCAGGGAAGAGATTTTCAGTGGGTGCTTTCAAGAGGGAAATATGGAAGACTGGGTACAATTTGAGGTTGTGGAGTTTGAAAGCAACAGTTGATTTTCTGATAAATATATAGGGTCCAAGCAATTGGTGGTCTAGCTTGAGAGATGGCCTGCCCATGTTGCAATGCTTAGCAGATAACCAGATCTTCTGGCCTACATAAAAGATCAGTTCCTCCTGTCTCCGGCAATCTTCTTAATGTCCTTGACATGCCCCGTTAGTTCTGGAACGTGGTGGATCCTTAAACTAAGTTGGTAGCTGACGGGTTTGGGGAGGCTGCTGGTAGTTAACATAGTTAACAAAAAAAAAAGCTTCGCTCGATCTGCTGGCAGTGCTTCTACTATTGCAGCCCAATATGCCGTTAGCCTTCTTGGCAACAAGGGCACACTGTTGACTCATATCCAGCTTCTTGTCCACTGTAATCCCCAGGTCCATTTCTGTAGAACTGCCGCTTAGCCAGTCGGTCCCCAGCCTGTAGCAGTGCATGGGATTCTTCCATCCTAAGTGCAG